TTTTCGTCGGTCTGCCTGTCAGTCAGTTAATCCCTGGCCCGTCCGTTACTTAGGAAGTACCGCTCGTATTTGGACTAAATTTTCACGAATTTACCATGCCTAACCTGAAAATACCCAAAATTGTACACAAAGTTATGCTAAGTAGGTTTGCAATTTTTAATTGTATGAGCTTGTTTCACAATTTGTTATGCATGTTCGTAGTAAGGTTTTTCTCAGAGGAGTTTGTATCCGTTTTGTGCGAAGTGCAGAGTCAATCTACCCGACTTTGTTCTTTTACACCTACTCCGGTGACGACTGTTATGTTTCATCGTCCGGCACCACTTTTTTATCGGGCTGCCCGATAACAAAGTATCAGAATCCTCACCCTGGCCCTGTCCGTAAAAATGTTAATCACCTAATGGCATTTCACGCTCGGTTGGTCTATCGATCGATTTTTATCAATATAACACGTTCTTTCCCCCTCAACCCTGTACCACATTATCGTCGCTAATGGTTCGGAACTTGAACTGCCGCGTTGCCTTATTAAGAATTAATAGAAGGTTGAGCCAAAGTATACATACTACAAAAAGTGATATCACAACATATCGACACTTAAGGCGTACCACTGTTGAGACAAATTAATAGTCAGTGCATTTTGATACGGTTGATGCCATCTGATGAAGGCTCCAGTAGTGAGAGGCGTAGGATTTTGGCAGGGGTAGATAACTCGATTATGCTGTACACAGCCCCTATCTATAATAAAGCCTGGATGAAAAGGAAATATAGGGTAATGCTTAGAAGCCAGCAAAAAGTAGTGCTGCGCGTGGTATGCGCTGACAGAACGATCTCGACCAATGCACTGCTGGTGGTGGCTGGGATCCCGCCAATTGATTTGCTGGCTGAGGAGAGGTGCGCGCTCTATAGAAAGGGCACCGCGCATATTGCTACGGAGAGGAGGATACTCCTGATCATTCAATCGAATTTAGTAGATGGGTTGACTACCAGACAGCTGGAACTGACGCTCGGGGAGAGGCTCAGCATTGGCAAATTTGCCACGTATGCAAGCGAGAGCAGATGGGTTAATATTCGGCCGGCAGTGAGGCGGATGAGGCTGAACAAGATGCAGAAGGACAAAAATATAACCAACAGTAGGTACCTACTTGCTCGGTTGTACATGTACATATTGTATATAGGTACCAATGAATGTATATGAGCAGATGACTAACACCTTTTCCGTGGTGCGATGTGTGGAGAACGACTGAGGGGTTTTAGTTTATGTTATAAGATTTTTAGGTGTGTATGAGACCTACAGAATGAGACCACACGTGAAAAGATCCGACTAATAGTAAAAAAGTTATGGCCGAAAACCGAAGCAAAATGCTCTTGTTGCTAATGCGACGATAATTTCACGCAGCTACTTGAAATTCTTCAAATCCGTAGGCTTCACACTTCTAAATAACCTCAACAAAATTATTATATTGATCAAATAGTTTTTTGAGAATTTTTAATTGTTTATCCCGAAACGCCTGTCTTCCGGCCATTACTACTAGTTTACTTAGCAAGATACAGGGTTCGTTCAAAGGGCATTTTATAGCAGAAAACGAAGCCTACGGATTTGAAGAATTTCAAGTAGGTGCGTGAAATGAGGGTGAAAATAGCAACAACTGCCAAAGTTTTCGGCCATAACTTTTTTACTATTAGTCGGATCTCTCTAGGTGTGGTCTCGTAGGACTCATAAATACATAAAAAATTTGTTTGAAGAGTTTTTTCGTTCCTACCAACACTTTCGATTGAATCCCCAAAAACACGTTTTCTCATTCTTTGTTGTCGAATAAAAAATTGGTGTACCCATTTTATGCGTCCATTTTTAAATACCCCCTTGAACAACTTGCATCAATAAAACTCGACTTTACAATTATTTCGGGAAAATTTGCTAATATGATTAAGCTATTAATTCCAATGGTAAGTTTAGGAACTGCGGAAATCGGAAACGAAAGAGTGATCCAACTATTCGAAATCTTTATAACTCCACGGATTCCGGACATCATGGATCGTGAATAATGGGACCGTAAATAATATTTTATTAACTACTTCCATCTCTTTCTCATTGTCTCTCTTTTTCTCACTTGCTTTTCGTATTCTGCTGAGCAACGTAGCCAGACGTATTATTTCCGCTAATTTTATCGCCTGATATTGTTGCGTCTCAAGCACAACGTGTATCCGTGCTTGAAATTATGAACATAAAAGCTAGCAGGTTGTTTATTTTCCTTCAAAATTAAACACTCCAGATAAGTTGTGAAATTTGGTATAAAGTAGCTCTCAACACAAATACTAGAGTACAGCTACTCAAAGCCTTGGACACCAGGACTTTAGGAGATCAGGGTTTTTGAAGTTCGGCAAAAAGCTTGGAATAACTATTCGGCATTACTTTCTCATCTCTAGAAAGTTTACAGTTTTGTTTTTTAACCTATTTATTATTATGTTATAGACCGAAAAAACATGCGATCAATTCAAGTTGTACGAAATACCAGCAATAAATAGACGAAAACTTGGTAACCATCTTTTCAGCATTAGGGCGCTGTACTTGATGTACTCCGTTATGCCAGTTTCTCTCCCTTGCGCCTTTCCAGCCACTTGACATAACATAAACGAAACAGATGCCTTCGATTCATCTCCAAATGTCCTAACCATAATCGTTAATTTTTATTACCTCATTATAGGAGGAGGTGCAATAATTACATTGCCCAGCTTCCCGCCGGCAGGAGAGCACACCCCAATCATATACTGTTATTCCAGGGACTAACTTCACTGTCCAACTCCTGCAAGTGAGATAGCCTCCAAAATACGATGTTGGTCCATTTCTTTTTTTTAACTAGTAACCTGCATACTCTTCTCAACGATGTCACAACCTCGTTGTTCAGTACTACCTGACCGCACATTAGTCTCATCAGGAAGAAAGAATGACACCTCGTAAGCTTCACTTTATGATCATATAGTTTTTTGCCGCATCTCCAAGCGCAAACTCGAAATAACATCTACTCATCAAACCAAAACCAGCACTCTCAAATATCAAAACTTTCACCCATCTCATCTCTCAATACATTTCATCGCTTCGGCGTATGCAAGTAAACCTGCAACCTCTATGGTCATGTCAAAAATCAAGCTGGCAATAGTTCATTTCGCGTTTATGCCAAAGACATGTTTTGCAAGGGAACCATCCGAGGATGACTAACCGCACGTCTCGCAAAACATTTATACGCATGTCCAGCCACACGTTTCGTTGAATATTGTTTTTCAATGTACGTTCACGAAGCCACACGTAGTAATTACTTTTTAAACGACTGAGAATAGGGTACTCCGACAATGTCAATTTAACTTCTCCAGGATATTTTTCGACACAATACACAACACATGTTCTCGGAAGCGCACAAAATCAAAACTCACGTAGGCCGGTAGGACAAGCGAGTTCTATCCCACTTCTGATGCTATGACCGAAAAATACCGTAAAAATTCAAGTCCACCAACAATGAATCGACGCGAACTTGGTAAGCATCTTTTACGCGTTAGGATGCGGTAATCGATGTAGTAGACCTTTAAGCAATGCTCTCTCACTTGCTTCTTGCTAGCTACTTGACATAACATAAACAAAACGGATGTCTTTGATTCATCCCCAATAATCCTAACCATAATCGTTAATATTTATTACTTCATCATAGGCGAAGGTGTCGGTAACAATTATCATTATCGATATTCTAATAGTACGGTCACTCATCAAATACATGTAAAAAAGAATGATGACTCCATGCAGAAATGTTGGGATGTTTGTTTGATCGACTTTTCGTCATTACGTACAATTCTATGTTTACTTGTCAATTCATGAAGATCTCAAAGGAGGACTAATAAACAGAAAATCTTCTCAAGTGCTTTAAACAAACATCTGCTATTGACGTTTATGCGTCATCGATCAATTTCCACCAGGGTCTTTAATCCTCCATAATAGCACGTCGTATATCGGCGGCGTGATCTCCTTAGTGCCATCAAGCCTATAATCAAGTGTGCCGCGTCGGCCGGCTATCTACAACCAATCCCCGGAGATCCCCGAACAATGCGGGGACACCAGCTGGCGACAGCTAATCCTGGGAAATTGGAAACCCCCGCGCGGATAGTCCTCGCTTTAAGAAGGGTGGACAATCGCCTGCCCTCATCAGCCACCCTCGACGAGCGAGTAAATTAAACACTTCCACGCTGACGCAGACGACACTTACAACCCTTAGGCGTTCGATGTTCGACTGTTTGTGACTTACCCATGGCAAGGGGAAATCAGTTCGTGTTAAGGAAAGCTGTAGGTATTATTTGTCGATGCAACAAAAGGTAAATCCAATACTGAACATTCCATACATTTGTTTTTCCGCACAGAGTCAACATACACAGTGATTCAAGAAGCAGTTACAAAATGTATTGGGAAGAAAGCTGTGAGCAGTATGTACAAAAATAACTCCAGAAAAAATATATCTAAAGAGCAGACAAAGGTATTGGTTCAACATTTTTTTAGTCTGGGGTAAGCGGAATAGGCAACTTTTTTTTGAAGTAATCTAATATTCCTGGCCTATCCCAAACCGAAATTTGAAATAGTTTTGTTCCAGCAAAATGTTCAATTCATGTTCAGAACGCATAATTCTTTCTCGAAACACTCACTGACATGATTCGGACAAGAACTAGTATTGACCCTGCTGGAACGACTTTCCTAGTTCTGTGTATTCATAACCTAGAAAACATCAGTTTGGCACACAGTTTTGTGCTGCTTTGATTTTTGATTACTAGTTTCATGATTTACACCTACATTATCTACGCGTTGTCTACATCGAAACGTAGACAATTGAAGTATACCTGTAAGCGCCCATCACTGGATATAGTCCAGTGAAACTAGATATTGTACCTTAGCCGCAGCAAATGAGGAAAACAGTAAAACAATTATTGAAAGAAGTTTAACAAAGTACTTAAAAAGTGCATGCGTAACTCACCTTGTTCTCAGTCTTGAGCTTTTTGATGGGTGGCGGTGACGCCCCACTGCCGTCATCATGGCCGGTCGCCACCGCGCCTGTCCCTATTTGGGGTTGGCCCGCGGGGCTATTAGGGGGTTTAGGGGAAGGTGCGGGCGGGGGACCAGGGCCGGTGCTGGCCGGAGGGAAGACGGCCCTAGGGACAGATTGGCCACCGCTCGGCGGCCGACCGTTCATTTCGGGGGGCGATTTAGGGGGTTTCGTGCTGTCGGAGGTAGACAATACTGTCGTTCCTAGAACAAAATTGGAAAAGAATTTTGAAGTTGATTCAGAACTATTGGTAATAATGTAATGGAAAAAATTCAAGACCCATTACGATGTTCAATCATATATTTCATGAGCGTCTATAAGTCATTTATAACAGCTGTCAACTAACGCCAATGAGTGGTGCCGAGAAGTACTAGTTCAGGATCACACTGTACTTCCGTCAGTGTTTTTTTAAATTGTGTTCTATGGTATTGTGTCATCCATTTGATCGTGGTATCAATCAGAAACCTATTCTTGACGCCAGCTAGGCAACATTTTGCTTCTTGGGTACGGGTTAAATTATCAATGGAATACTTATCCGAACTGAACCACAAGAAGTATAGTCTATTTCAAAATGAGAGAGAGCAATAAATGCTCATTATGCATGCAAATAACCAATGGGATGATCAAAATGAAAGCATAGTTTCCTTCAGCATACCTAATGGATATTTAGCTATTTTTCAGTCACCTTGTAAAAGGGTTTGCAGGTCCAGCAAACAATAAGAAACAAAAAAATCCCAGCGAGCAGGTAGTTTGTGAGATTTTATGAGGGTCCAGATGAGTGAACCCTAAAACATTCAATAAAAGTCTTATACTTTTTATATTCTATATTAATTAAGGATTATAATTAACTAACCCAATAGAACTGAATACTTTACTGTACTCGTAAATAAACTGATATCTTTAAACTACTAATGTCTTTCAATTTTATGTAATAACACCTACTTGATATAAATCATAACTATATAAGTAGCTATATAAATAATATGATTACTATATAAAAAAAACTGAACCAATGATAATATATGATTAGATATGAGCAATGAACATATAATAATATTAAAGCACATTTTGGTACATGATAAGGGGGAATATTACACCAATTCAATGGGATAATGCGGTAAACGAAGGATAATGACGCCGCACTTTTCAACTACATCTTCAATGACGTACTTTATAAACTTATGTTTGTACCACTTGGTAATACCGTCCAGCCAAGGTGTTTTAGGTATTTTATCTATTCTAAAGTAGTGGTAACTGGCGTTGTCTGTTACTATGAGTGATCCTGGCAGAATGAACTTTAACATTATATTCTTCAACTTCATCAGCAGTTATATCTTGATCATAACAGTCACCGGTGCGGCTAGATTTGAATTTAATAGGTCTTGTTCTAGGAGACCTTCTTCGTTGCCAATATGTGTTAATAATCAATCTCTGGCCCTTGTCACATGGTTGTTTCATTTAGGTCGATAAACCTAAATTAGCTTGCCGAACACTTTTGATATTTCTGTCTTGCCACATTTTATTTACTGTTTTGAGTTCATTTAGTGACGTTTCGTCCAAGAAGTAGATGATCCATGCGATATTGTCGTATGCTTCTTAGATAGTTTCTCCTCCAACAAACAAAATTATCATCTTCCATCAACATGAGTTTTCTATTTTGCTTCTACCAAGGAAAATTCATTTCTCGCAGAGTTTTCCACAAAATTTAATAGATGGTAAATCTTCTTCATCAATTTCAAGAGACACTAAAGCCCGGTTTTTCAATCGCAGGTTAGCTGCGACCTTGGTCTTAACTTATGAAAAAGAGTTTTTCAATATCATGTTTCTAGTAAGACAGTAGTTTACTTTAACCAGATGACTACCTATGAGTTAACTATAAAGGCTGTGGTTAAATAGCAATACCTGACGTTTGTCGTCAGATTATGCGTGTATTCAAAAATTCACAAATTCATATCAATTTTATGGATTACGACGTGATTACGTATAACAAAGACAAAGACGCAAGAAGTCAAAAATAACGCGCCAATGGCCGAATTACTTCGTCTTACAAACAAAGACTGTAGAAACAGAACTCTTCTTTTTCCATGAAACTGTGTCACTTTTTGCTCTCTATTATGCTTTTGTTTTTAATGACCTTTCATCATTTCCTCATCTTTTGAGAAATTCTGAGCACTTTTTTTTGATGTTCGCTTTATCCATGCTAATAAACAGTTTTTGATAAATTTTAGTAACAGGAATAGCCGTATTTTTGAGTCGTCGATTATAGAAGTGATGTTAAAAAAAGTGACAAACAGTTAAATGTATTTTTAGCGTATTTTTTGACCTATGTAACGTCACTTACCACCATTTCTATAATTCCGTCTATAGAATTTATTACTAAACATTCGTACAAGCAATGTTTGAAAAATCAAACCTTCCTTGATGGAGGTTTTATTCAAATTTCGACTATTTTATAAAATTTCATTGAAAAAACACGAGCTGTCATGTATGACACGTATGACGGTACGCGGATATGACACAAGACACTAACGCCGAGCTCACAAAACGCACAGAACAAGATATCTAAGAACCACAGATGCAGGGTTGCAACATAAATATATAATGAACTTCTGGTAAGTTAACCGGCACTGTCAAACTACTTGAAAACCGCAGGCAACTGCAATTTAACTTCCTGGTTATAATTAACTAACCCGAAATCTATCTTTCGATTGAACAACCGGCCCTAAGAGTTTGTCTAATGCGGGTTTATCTTTGTTGAAATAGAACGTATGCACTCGTTTTATGATTGCCTGTTTCATATCTTCGTCTATTTAACATGGCGGCGAAGCCTGGTAGCAAGGTTATTTGCTCGTTGCTAAACTAACAAAAAGGGATTTGATCAAACTATTCGTATCCAAAACGTTCCTAACATCTTCAATTAATAATGAAGTCACTAAAAAGTTTGTGAGTGACTAATGTCTCGATGATTAATAGGGAAATGTCTTCAAGGATGTCATTTGAAGGTGATCAAAAAATCCAAGGGAAGAAGTGCTGCAGTAGTAAACAACCACTCAAAGCCACTACACGTGAGTTGGAAACAATTTAGCATCTAGTGTCAGTTCTTGAAAAAAGGTTTAGTTGATCAAGAATTGAATATAAAATTGATGAATAACATCAAAGATGGAGTACATAATTATGTGATCTAGTAGCAATGTCCATCAACAGCCAGACCCGAACAATCTACTATTAAATTTCTTGGCCTCACTGATCTTATATTTGAACGCCACCTTTGTGTTCAGACTTGTTTACAATGTGTTCAAAGATGCATCATCTTTATAATGAACTGCAACTTCATTACGAATTTTACGAGTAGTATTCACGCATATATTCAAACTGGATGATTTTATTTCGTCCAGCACTTTGTTAGTGTCCAATGAGCCGTCGCCCGCAGATTGAACTAAAATAATAGAGAAATGGCCCCAATTCTTCTGCTTCACTATATGGCTAAATAACGGACCAGCTTGAACCTGACGTTCACGTTCTTCATATGCCTTTATGCGGGAATTTTTGCAACTCTACAGTATATTCGAGACTAAGCAGAAGTTTCCTTCACGATTAACACTTTCAATTCTTCGTCCAGCATATTTACATCAACTTTCGTTTCATTACTGACAGACTGCATCTTTATAGGACTTTTCCTTACAAATGTCGCAAAACCAAAATATGTTTTCACATTCGGAGAAAAATTTGAACCAACTATACCTTACAGATATGCATGATATATGAAAGGCCATATTTTATCACCGCGTATTTTGCACACATCCACATCAGGTGTCATAGCTAGATGGACCTAATTTACCTGGATTATAAGCAAAAATTCACAAAAATACCACAGATTGAATACAAAACGTATTGCTCTGTTTTTCTAGCAAGCAATTGATAACATCACAGGAAAATGAGACTTATCGCTAATATAAATACGAAAATGGGGACGTAATTCAATAATTAATATAAAAGTTTACCAATCAAAATAGTGCACCTAGACATAACACTGTTTATGATATAATCACGAACAAATTTCAAACCACTTTTCCCTAATAAAGAAGTACTAACATCGAATCGCTAGTCGGTCTGTTGGTGGTCGGACTATACTATCACAGGTTGACGTAATGACTGACAGACTTGCAAAATATTGCTAATGTACTTTGGCAGCTACGTAACTACGTTGATTTGAACGTTTTAAAAACCTACTACTTTCCTTATGCCAATCGCAATTAAATTATTGCATTATTTGTTGGGGCAACAGCGTTTGTGTTAAAGACTACTAGTTATTCAGAAAAAAATCATGATTTAAAAAAACAGGCTTGATTCGTGTAACTCTTTTAACACGCTTTTATTTAGCTTGGCCTGTATGTACACCATGTATGAACTATGTATGTATGTATGTAATGGAATCTTTGAGCATAATTTTCACCAATTTCCAGAAGTTTGATTAATCTGAAACTTCGCACACGTATCAAGGACCAATGACAGTGCAATAATTTGACAATATTTTTCCATTATCCTTATACATAAGTAAAAGTCTGTAAAAAGCAGATATGTTAATAAAAAGCCATGGATTTCAAATGTCGCTTTACGAATACTGAAACTACAAACTTCGGTAGCTCAGTGGCGCACTGGTCTTCTAAACCAGCGGTCGTGAGTTCAATCCTCACAGGAGGCAGAGTGTGGTATACCTTTTTTAAATTTTTTTAACACGCTTTTATTAGCTTGGCCTGTATGTATGTATGTATGAAGGACCGATGACAATAAAATAATTTGATAACCGTTTGCCATTATCCTTATTAGGACCGCCAGGATTGATAAATTCGTTTATAGATCCTCTGTAGGGGAGTAAGAGAGATACAGCTAGCATGCGACCTGCGCATGCGTGCAGTTTCGGACTTACTCTTTATTACAACTGGCTGCTGAATTAGTTCGAGAAAATATGGAAAGAAGACTAGCAAATGATCGACTGCCTCGTAAAATACGCAGCAATATTAGTAGAATTTTGAGGCTACCGGAAACAAACGAAACACAGAATGAAGGGGAGCTTTTGCTTACAACACGTAAAGCATGCTTTTTGTGTCCTGCAGCAAAACATCGCAAGACAAACTATCTCTGTGTGCAGTGTAGACGGGCGATTTGCTTGCAGTGCTCAACGCCTCTATGCAATACATGCGCAAAAAAGACGGTTGATTAGTTTCTGCTAGAGGAGCATTTCAGTGTTATTTTCCTTTGAGTTCTATTTTTTATATAGTTTAGGTTCCTAAAAAATGTTTCAGACACATATTTTCCTACTTAGGTCGCTTATGTTTTTTTTTGTGAGCTTTTAAGAATACATGTTTAATTAGGTCAAGTTACGATATAGTTTTCCAGATATTTGTTGTTGTCAGAAACCAATTTAGAAACAAACCGTTTTTCCTCATTTACATGTAGTAATAGGATCCCTATTGCTTTATACATAACAATAATATACTATTTCCAAAAAATAACTTGTTTTACTATCTGCCCAGTTAGTGGTCTGTGAGACCCCACATGGATCTTTGCGTCCAGATGACTCACATGGTAGGTTAAGGGTTACTATTATTTATTAAGTCATTAGAGGTGATGACTGTATATTCACTGTTCACCTTTAGATGTGTTAGATATGTAAAAAGTAATCTGGTCCGAATCTCGATTTAAAATCTACAAGTTGCCCGATCATGTTAAATAAATTTAGTCCATGACACCTTTCAAAGATATAATTAAAAAGTTTTTAATCATTTTATACTGTAGATGAATGTCTAGCCCAGGGAATTCGTATTAAGCGCCATATCGTCAGTCGTTCCTACAATTGTAGGACGCCCCTATGGCCTCCTTGGTTTTCAAAGTTTTCTACTTTTCCGTGGCAAAGCTCTATTTTGAGGTTATGTAACAAATATCTATTTGCATCAAATTGTTCATGCTATTTATTTATATCCTGTTTTATCAGCCTGACATTTCCTACAATTCAAAAAGAAAAAACTTCACAATAGGAGAGCGCTGACGCTGACACAGAACAGGGGCAATCTAGAAATTTTTGAAGGACAGAAAAGTCTATGACAATCAAGGGGGCCATAAAGGCGCCCTACAATTGTAGGAATGACTGACGATACGGCTCTTAGACGTTTTATGTGATTGCTTAGGTGTAATGTTTAATATCCATGTTTATTCTATTTATGATAATGTTCCAATGAATGTGCCACTTTTACAAATAATTTGTAATTGCATATTTTGGACTATATCCTTTTGGAGTAGGGTGGAAATAAAGATATTTGTATTTTTGCTTCAACTTAGCATTTTCTTACACGAAACATCCTATATACGACATGGCAGATTTTTGAATCCTGTCATATTTGAACATTTCTCCGTAGAGTCGTCGTTACTTCTAGTACGGTTGTCATATCTGAGCGCGTCGAATTCATTGAGATCAATAACTTTTTCATTTACTGATAAAACGCAGTTCTCTATTCTTTTTGTCAGATAAAAAACTGAAGTGCTTGCCATTCCAAAATGCACTGTTAGAGCATCACTAACACAATTTAAAGGCTCCTAAGACAACTAGGAATTTATATTAAAGTCCAGGTACAAGGTATCTTTACCTAATCCAAATCACAAGTATCTACATCTATTCTACCTACCTAAATCATTAGGGTATGTACCTGCTAGACACACAAATAAAAAACCATGATCAGGTAGGTACCCTGGGTATTCTGTGACCTACACTATGACTACAATCACATATTCTGTAAAAGCTTCGGTAAGCCATACCTCTTACTAGGTAATATCTAAGATAATTATAATAGGTATAATTGGGTATTTCTCACCAAATTTTGAAATTTATGTCCTGAGCCATATCAGTAAGTATCTACACTACTTCAAAAGCAAAAATTTAGATAAAATATTGACACAAAAAAATACGATTAATTTATTAGTCTAAAAGTCATTCCGTCATCTCGTCCCTGGGTCTGAAATTAATAATAAAATGATATATACAATCAAATCTGTTCATATTCTTATAAATTGAATATTACTAAAATATTTGGTAATAAGTATGGATTGTATAGTCAAGCTTTCGTTGCTAAAAAATAAATATGTATATAAAAATCTATTTAAACTATCCCTTGAAATGAAATCATTTCCTCACCCATTATAAATATTCGATTTGTGGTCACACCATTTGATATTCTTAATATTTTTAAAACTTCTCAATACTGCTAATAATGTCAACATGGCGGAATTTCTCTATTACGCTTGAAGCCGATTTATATTGTTCTGATTGTTATTAGTTTTTACGCCAAATCTGTACTATTAGTGGCAAAATGGAACTAGCCCACTGTTTGTCTTTTGTTTTCCTGGATGATGTGATTTTTTCCCTAACTTTGGTGTGTTGTTCCATTAAAAGCTTAATAACTCAAAATCTAGTAATTTTATCTAAATCAAACCTTATACCTAACAAAAAAGCTTATAAACTGAACCCAAACTTGCACAAATATACAGGGTGATGCATTTGAAATTTTTGAGAAAAAGTACAATTCGCGTTTTTGATCACCCTGTATGAGCAAAAATGAAAATTCGAAAAACTAATAAATAAGATAAAAGCTGAGGTGTGTAAGCTTTTTTTGATACAAAATTCAGCACTCCAAATTTCAAAATGGCGGATTGAGGGGTTGCCGAAGTGGACGGATTTTCTGGACAGAACACCTTACATCTCAGAAGCTAATTACCAAAACCAAATAGTATGTTATATCAATATTCTTCTTTTGAATTCGTTTATCCAAATATGCAATAAAATTTGAGGCAGTTTATTTTAAATATCACAACATTGATATATAGTAGTTGTTCAAAACTATACGCTGTTCACAAACAGATTTGGTTCATTACATCCAACGCAAAAAATAAAAAAAGAAAAGGCATAGTTTCCAAACTAAAGTACACAAAAAATTATTAACCTGAATTAAAGAAGGGATGAAACAGAAATGCATGATTACGTAAATTATATGTTTGAGGGTTGAGAAATATTGTTTTAAGTTTTTGTCGAAAGACAGGTAATGAACATTATTTATACACTTTAGGAAGGTCATTATAAATAATAGCAACATTGTAGGAAGAACTGCGTTTAAAAGTAAGAGGATTTAGACGTGAGCAGCAACTTGTGAAGAAAAGCTGAATGGTGATACTTGACCAAGTCATTAATTTTTAACCGGTTTAGAACGGGATATTTCGCTGATACATGATCAAATTTACGTAAGCCAAAGATGAAACGTATACAATTATTTTGAATAACTTGAATAACGTTTTTGGTGAAATTGTCTAAACAAGTGTATACATTATACGATATTACAATAATTCAGTACAGATATGACCAATGCTTCACATAGTTTTTTATGGAACTTAAAATTTAGTAAATACCTGTTTGCTATTACAGTACGTAGCGTTAGGTAGGTTTTCTGGGAAACACATGTTCAATAAGCCTTGATTTAGTATCAAAAACAACACCAAGAATTTTTGCAGAATGAGAAAATTGCAAGATGCAAGAACTGTGTTACATTGTATGTTTTTCTTTGTGCGCAAAATAATAACACCTTAGATTTTTGTGGTTTAATAAGTAGATTATGATCTGACGAGTACTTAATTAATTTACTAACATGGTTTTGTAAAATGTGGGTAGCATTATTGACATTATCTGGGCTAAAATAATAGAGCAACTGCGTATCGTCTGCAAAGGACTGGACATGAGAATTATCAGTACTTTTGCACTGAGGCACGCCTGAGGGAATTATTGTCACTGGAGACATTTCTTGGTTGACAAAAATACAGAGTTAATTGATGAAGGTAACTGTCGAAAAATCAAAGGGATATATATTGTCAAGTAATATGTAATTTAATTTAGCAAGTAATAATTATTGATGATTGATGCTGTCAAAGGCTTTCGAAAAGTCTATAGAGATTAACGCTAGTACCATTTTCTTAACTAAGGCACAATATTGTCTTGCAGATTGAGTAGGGCAGATGTTGTACTAGAATTTTTTTCTAAAACCGGAATGAGCATCGGGAAGTATAAAGAATTTTTCTAGGTAAGCGGTCAATTGGAACTTTACTATTTTTTCTAAAATTTTGGATAAAATTAGTAACAAACTAAAACACTGAGATCACTATACTCAGTGGTTTTATTTTTTTTATGAATAATTAGAGCTTGTTTCCATTTGTTTGGAAAGTAGCCTTTTTCCAAACAGTCGTTAACCATGTGGACGATGTGACGGAGAATAAATGGCAGGCAAAGCTGGATCATTGACAGGGATATACCATCAATTCCCTTCAGATTTTTGGCTCCTTATTGCCTGCAATACATCATTTGAACTAATCTTCTTATTTAATGAAAAAATATACTCAGAATTTAATTTATCTTTGAAATAGTTCTCGAAAACTAGTGGATCAACAGGTTTGTAGCTACATATAAACATCATTAATTTTGATAGAGTCATTAAAACTTTCTAGAAACAGAGTGATCCCTGATTTGGACTCAACAACCGCGAACACCTTTATGACACTACACTTTTTCTGCATTTGTCCTCATAGTGACTAATTATCCTCTGATTCGGACTTAGTAAGCAGAAACATTTCGATACGCGGTTGGATTCAACTGCTCGGCTTCTATTGGAAATATGATCTCGAGGTGACCTTCAAATGCGCTCATAGAAGCAAACTATCAGATTTGAAATCAGCGACACAAACAATCCCTGTTGTGTCGAAAATTGTATAAATGCCATAGAAATTTAATTTTTGCCGGCTTTTCGGTATGCTAGACCACTGTGTCGATGACTCAGAATACTCATAAATTCGTAGTAGATAAGAATTATTTTCCATTTACCTGAGGACGAATGTTTCTCTCGCGTCTTGTCCCTATTCCTGTGTCCGCTGGAGCTTCTCTTATTGGACGAAGACGTGTTATTCTGATTGGCGGCTTGCGCAGCCGCGGCAGCCGCCGCTGCCGCCATGATGGAGGCGGCGTTTGACATGCCACCGCTCCCGGTGCTTCCCGAACTGCCGCCGCCTCCTGCGGTGTTGCCGCCAGAAGAGTGCTTGCTGTGCGAGACCGATTGTGCCGTTTGGTTCTGGAAACATTTTTCTGATCAGAATCTGCTGCTACTTGACATTATTTGAAAATCATAAAGGATTTTTATATATATATATATATATATATATATATATATATATATATATATATATATATGTGAAAAATTAAAGCTTTCGCCTTTTGTTGGGTACTTCGACAAAATTTAAGCATATACTTTTTTTAATTCTTTCTAGCTTTCAATGGACTTTGCCAACATCATCAGGAGCTGCAATTACAATGATAACAGTAGCAACAAAAGTGTAAAATGAATTTAAATTGAATCAACTTACAGTAGTATGTGAGGATGTTGCTAATTGTTGTTTTCGTATAGGATGAGGGAAACGTCCAGTAACATGGTGAGAGCTGGATACATGGTACAATGGTTAAAATTATATAAAATATGACAAGACAAGTTAAAGACAGATTAAAAATTATTTAGAAAACATTAGAGCATTACGTCGTGAAGCCACTTGATGATTGCACAAAATGGTGGTCATGGAATAATGAGTGAGATGAACCTTTGACAGAAGGCCAAAGGTTGTCAATGTCTGTGTTCAAAGATGGAACGAATTGTGGGCGTGTGCCAAACGTTGCAAATCACTTCAGATGATGTGATTTTCAGAATGTAATGTAAGAAATTGTTGAACCGACCAGAGGCAGTTGAATAAACTATATTTTAATTAATGGGAATTTTAAATTAACAATTATTAATAAATCGTGAGAAGAGAATTATTAGATTTTGAGTGGAATGAAATTTGTTGGTGGAATCGGCCAAAACACAGATTATATTTATGGCTGTGAAAAGTCGAAATTTGGGGAGATACGTAAGTTCTCCAATTTTTCGCAGTTCAGCAAATATGAGTAAATAACGCTCAGTTGTTTAATATCTGTCTTTTTGTTGATACAGTTGTTATTCATGAAAATGTGGGACATTTCCAGGAATAAACGTTTGGAAAGGTGTTTTTCTTTATCAAGAACTTTGATACTTGTGTAATTCATAGAATGCCCCGTTGTGTTAACATGAGATGCTAGAGCGCATCTTTCAGGATGAAGCCTAGCATCACTTTTGTGTGATGTAATCCTTCCTTTAAGAGATCTGGAGGTCTGACTTATGTATGTATATTTGGTTGCAGTTGTTGCAATTGATGGAGTAGACTGTGTTAGTTAAGCCAAGCAGCGGGACTTTGTCTTTCATTTTTGAAAAAATGCGGTTTATAGTGATGACGGATTTGCAAGCAATTCGAAAGTTCAAAGGACTGCACAATCTGATCAGCTTAGGGGTCAGTTCCTTGATATAGGGCAGGACAGCAAAACCAGGTCTGGAGTCTGGGTTGGTGCTTGTACTGTTTGGATTGATGCTATTATTGGGAATTACATCAGTTCCGTTATTATTAGGGGTTGTGTGACTATTACCTGCGAAAAATTGGAGAACTTACATATCTCCCCAAATTTCGACTTTTCACAACCATAAATATAATCTGTGTTTTGACCGATTCCACCAACAAATTTCATTCCACTCAAGATCTAATAATTCTCTTCTCACGATTTATTAATAATTGTTAATTTAAAATTCCCATTAATTAAAATCTAGTTTATTCAACTGCCTCTGGTCGGTTTAACAATTTCTTACATAACATTCTGAAAATCACATCATCTGAAGTGATTTGGCAACGTTTTGGCACACGCCCACAATTCGTTCCATCTTTCAACACAGACATTGACAACCTTCGGCCTTCTGTCAAAGGTTCATCTCACTCATTATTCCAAGACCACCATTTTGTGCAATCATCAAGTGGCTTCACGACGTAATGCTCTAATGTTTTCTAAATAATTTTCAATCTGTCTTTATCTTGTCTTGTCATATTTTATATAATTTTAACCATTGTACCATGTATCCAGCTCTCACCATGTTACTGGACGTTTCCCTCATCCTATACGAAAACAACAATTAGCAACATCCTCACATACTACTGTAAGTTGATTCAATTTAAATTCATTTTACACTTTTGTTGCTACTGTTAACATTGTAATTGCAGCTCCTGATGATGATGGCAAAATCCATTGAAAGCTAGAGAGAATTAAAAAAAGTATAAAGAGTCCTCTTTGCTTAAATTTTGTCGAAGTACCCAACAAAAGGCGAAAGCTTTAATTTTTCACCTAACTGGTCTAGACGACAATGACCACGTCTCAAAATATATATATATATATATATATATATATATATATATAATAACTTAGATGTGCTGGTGAAACATATCTTTATATTTCATGGGCGTCATTCATGTTGTGTGTTTGAAGCTTTTTTTTTGATGTTAACATACTTCGACTATTTATCAATACCTGGAAAATTGTAAGCCTTGTTTATTAGCTGCATCACTGTTGCGCTTGAAACCACAAAATGAAGGCATTTTTATAGTCCAACCTTTTACAAATATCAAAATAATTCTCGCTAACCAAAATTTATAGGTTTTGTTCTACATCCCATGTACTATTAATGAGAAGGCACATAAAAGAACTACTCCCAATCTTACGAAAATTTGGTTTTCGTTAAATGTACTAAAAGGCATTATGGAACAATCACACTCTTGATATAGCTACTAGTCCCCGATGACAATGAAGACTCTAGATAGATAGATAGATAATTTTTTATTTGTTCATAAGCCGAGGCATAGAACATTGTTAAAGAGAAGTATATATCCAAAGATTTTTATGAATTACTAAAAATTCATGTGCCTTCACAATCATTAAGCCTCTAAGGCTTATCGTACCTTGCTTCTCGAAATTTACAGCACAACGAACTGGTATCGTAACAAATGGAACTTGTGCGGTCGTATTTGGATATACCTTTATCTCCGATAGATGATTCTTTGATCTGCTTTTGTTCGTTGTCCCACCTAGAGACGTAGACCGACCTGAAGATTGCTAAAAAGCATGAAAACAGCATTGCACACTTTTGACCCTCCGTTAGTATGACGGGTGATGGATGTTATTGGTATCTCAAATTTGATGAATATAAGACGCAAAACCTGCATGCAATTACCTGTTGAGGCTGATTAGGAGAAGGCGCTTTCATGTCCGCCTGATCAGCAGTTCCATTCTGCTCCACGGTAGCGTTAGCGCCACCCTGCGCGTTTTGCGTCAGCGCCGACGACTTGACAATCTCGTGTTTCGCCTCCGAAGTCTTCGTACCCGGCTTGGTGCGCTTAATCTTCATCTTCAACCCTTTATCGGTTGTCGTGGCCGAATGCTCGATGTGCATCTTGCTGGCCGCAGTGGCGCCCGCCTTTCCGGGAGCGGTCGTACCTTGGGCACCGCCCACGCCGGCCCCCACTCCGACGCCTCCGCTAGACACGCCCCCTGTTGCTCCGCCTCCGCTGGCGTTCGATGATGCCATGCCGGTCACCTGATGATGAATCGAGGATATAGAGCGGAGAATGTTGTTATTAAAATATATCACACATCTACATCAAAGGCGAAACATTTAAATTGTCACCATACCTATAGTGATATAAACTGTCATCCGATGTGCGAAACGTACGACGTATTACTGGATGAGTCTAACACCCTGAAATGCGACCTGAGTAGAATTAAATGTTTGACTGAATTCTAATGATTCTTGAGCTGGACAATCCTTTGCAATAGATCTCAGTAATCAAAATGGGTCAGATATGTAGGTATGCAAGAACACAGTATATAAAACTGTTAATTACGCAAGGTGTTCTGAAAATTGAGACTTTCCTTCCCAGAAACACGTACGTTTTGAATAACAAAGCTAATTTGCGGTAAAACAGCGGTGAACAAAGTAAAATGAGTGTGTGTGTACCCTCACCTCGTTAGTTTTCTCAATGTCCGCGTCCAAATCGATGATGAGATCGCCAATGCCTATATCCCACTCGTTATCATCGTATTCGAAATTGGACGAGCTTGGTGCTGTGGATACTCCTCCTCCACCTCCTGTCACTGCAGCCGTTGCAGTACCCGATTGCTGCTGCTCCTGAAAAAAAAACGGCGTAAAAATTAAAAAAAATTAGCCACATTAAGAACCCTGAAGTTTTAGTTTTGAAAAGTGCTGATAATGAACATCGACTCTATTGGAAGAATGTCTGATATGGTCTAAGGTCTCAGAGTGGTTTAACAAATTTTAAAGCCATCCAATTAAGAATAATAAACTTTAATGGGCGATACTAATAAAATAGTTGTACAGTCCCGAAACGTATAATTACCAAGATACAGGATGCTGTAAATTTATGTTACTGACGAGACTAATCAAAGCCAAAATATGATTATTCGTTAAATCAATGTGGTGGGATAAAATTACCACCTCTTCAGTAATTCCAGCGAACTTACGCAGAAGAACGAATTTAAGTCCTCTATACGAATTTTACTTCAGATATTCAAATCAATTTTTCTCGGAAATGAGTTTGTTCAGACGGACCGCGCACCATTCTTATGGTAAAAGTGATTCCGGTGGACTATACGTAGCTTCAAACTTTGAGGTTATCTTCTCCAAGTGATGCTGATGAAATTTTCTCTCTCTTGCCCATGATGACAGTCTATTCTCTGTTCGTCATTGTCTGTCAGAGCGGTCCGTAGAACCTTTGCTCTTGGTTAAAGTCTTGTAAGTCAGCAGGTCTGTCAGGTCTGGTTGCCCCGATACCAAACAAAGTCATAGAGAAAGAAGGGAAGAAGAAAGGAAGGAAGGACGGAGAGCAAAGAAAAAATAAGTGCGTCAATTTGAGGGGTGCCTTAGCATTGCTAATTAGTATTCGACAAATTTTAAATTGATCCAAAAATTAATTTTGAGATTGTTGTTGAAGAAAAATTATAAAGTCGCACGATTTGATTTTGTTCACAGCCCATGATGGCAGTTTGCTCGGGAGGAGCCCGAAACATACTTATTTAGGTTTATGGTTGGTGTATGTGGTATTATCACTGCGAAAAATACATGTTAATAAGGTGTACCGGCACCCAAATTGTTCTTGTTTGCGACTTGTGATTATATTATGTAACATTCCCTCAAAATTGTTCCTCGGCACGGGTATCATGTAAAAATCCTATAAAACGTCAAAAAACCTATAAGATGTCAACTAGGTAGTTTTTAGAGCGCAAACAGTCATTCCACGTCTACTCACTAGGATCATTGTGAACGTCCATCTATGGAGAAATCACTCAACTAAACGGATTATTGGTTGCATAGTTTTGTGAGACCGTGATCCGTGTCTGTAGTTTTTATCTCTGAGAAGAAAGTTAGTTGAATAGCAAGATCGCATCTGGATGATTATGTGTATTGGTCTGCATGTGTATAAAATCAGTGATATTTGCTGTGTGAGAGACTCATTAATGAATATGCCGAATATGACGGGTTATTTATATGTTGTGCTTTCTGAAGAGAGGTTATGTTCAAAGTTATAAATTACGAAAGGCTGAGGAGAATTACAAAGAAATCATCACCGCGCCCGCGTTGTGTGTAATTACTGTTAGCATGTATATATGGCTTGTAATTCGACAGTGTACATTGCATATCTCTCTCATTTTTGAAATTCAGCAAATTTGTATATGTCATTTCCAGAATGGATAAGAAAAAGTGGATGCGCAACTAATTTCTAGCTTTTAATCTCAATTAAGTGTATTTGAGACAAGAACCCAATGTAATTATCATCAACACATACAACTCACAGCTTAGACCTGCAGTAATGCCATCTCAGAAGCAGATTATACATCACATCAGAGCCAAAGATTGATAAAAAGCCTCATGACGTTTAGGTAACACGTACAACTAAGTGCTAAGTCAACGTCTTGGCGAAAAACCTACATAATGTTAAAAAAAACAGCATAAAGTCAAAAAAAATCGGCATAGTCACTTTTCAAGATACGTGATACCCGTGCCGTGGGATTAGGATTCGGCTATATGAAGCAGGTTCACACAGCCACATTCGCGAACGAGCGGCAGTTTCATTAGCCTTTTGGGCACTGTGCATGGTGTATAAGTGTACGAGGCCTGTAAATTAAGTAATGAGACTAGCAACGGAGCGTTCCATCTGCCAACACTGGACGCGCCGGGCTTGGAGGGAGACAAGGGAACATATGATCTGCCTTCATTACAAATTTGAAACAGTTTTTTCTATTGTATGCTAACATGAGTGTCACTAATTTCGAGCAATGGTGTGCTATCAAGTTTTGCTTCAAACTTGGGAACAGTGCAACTAAAGCTCTTGCTAAGCTTCAGTAGGCCTACGGAGAAAGTGTCTTGTCAAAAGCCTAGGTTTTCAGTGGTTTGAGGCGTTTTCAGAAGGGAGATAGTCCATCAAAGATGAACCACAAAGCGGGATGTCTTCATCTTGAAGAACCGATTAACCAAGTACAACTGGGTGTTGGATCACGATAATGCTCCTTGTCACATAGCAATGACAATAAACGAGTTTTTGGCTAGTAAAATCGTTTCTGTGGCTCCTCAGCCTCCTTATTAGCTTGACTTGAGTCCTTGTGACTTTTTCTCCTCCCGAAGTTGAAAACACACCTCAAGGATCTCATTTTGGGGCAGTCGAAAACATACAAACAGCTGTAAACGACCAGCTGAGGGCTATTGCAGTATCGGACTTCCAGCACCGCTATGAGTGGAAGAACCATCTGCGTGGCTCCAGAGGGAAGTCATTTTCAGGGTGAGCATTAAAATTGCAATTATATTTGAATTGTTTTTCTCAAAAATCAGTCTCATCACTTAATTACAGACCTCGTATGTGAAACAAGTATAATTATTCAAAATGATGTTTTTTCAACCTACATCATTATTTTCGGGGAGGATCTGAGGTCTATCACACTTCTTTCAGAAATCTCAAACACATTACCGGTTTCACTAAGTCACAAGTTACACTGGTTGACGCACTATCCGCACTGTTTCACAATAACACTGTGTCACGTATAAAATGGCTATTACCCAGTGGACCAATGCTTTGGCCACTATTAAATGTTCACTTTACTACATATGTCTCACGGGAGCATCGCTGGGAATTGAAATTAATGTCAGTGGACCAAATGGAAAACTACAAATGCCAAAAACATTAAAAACAAACGTTGGCTAGATATAACTGATGTTACAATGCACTATTCCAACGATCCGAGCTGAAGCCCGCCGCACCACAAACTGATGCCAATCTTTCAAAACCTTCAATGTAGGTATTATTCGGATATTTGTATTATAAGGGTTGATAATACACTCCATTAGACCCAAGGATTATGGTAATTTTGTCGAACACGCTATTTATTCCTCAATTGCTGTTGAAGGCATTATACCTGGGTCTGCTGTCTCTTTTCAAATACTGAGTTAATAAATGTGTCGTTAGAATCGCCAACGCCGTAAAGATGGTAATTCTCCGTACTAGCATTTGGCTGTTTGTTAAGGGCTGTGCCAAGTGAGAACTGGGAATGAGGACTACTAAATACATTAGATCAACGATGTATGTAAAAAAAAATTCAAGGATAATGCCTTGCAAAAGAACACAGCAAAAAACAAAACGTTTTGCTTTGCTAACATGAACACAGTGTACCATAATTCTACGAACTATACGCAACAGATCCTGGTGTTTTGAAACATGATAGGTGCATGATCGAATGCTGCTCGAAGTGCTAATGAGTCTTCCCAACCCCAATAAGCCTAAAAAATGGGGTCAAGTAGGTTGACTGCACTTAAGTTCAGCATGAGCTAAACCCACTGAGAAGAACATATAATATAGAGAAATTAAACGGATCAAGTCAGTCAAACACGCCCATTTTTTCCTTTCCAAGAGCCGTCCGACCACAGATGGCGCTGCAGCCTCTTGGGCTTATTGTACCGCTGAACAAACAGGTCCATACAATTAGTCCATATAAATGTTTTCCCTGCCCTTCCTGCAGTTACCGTCCATCTGGCAACGTTACCCCTTCCCATATTATCAGACGCTGCAGAGCGCACCGCAGTATAAGCAGAATATTCAAGCTATTCAAGCAGACCGTCCCTCCGGGCCCTGGCCCCAGAAACAGAACGAGTATGAAAAACATTTCTTTGTCATTCTAATTTTTAAGGGCAAATGATGAATTATGACTTTTGTGGGTTAGAATACCATCATCAAAAAATTAAGATATACCCACCTCCACCCCTAACATTTTTTTCACAAATGACTAGGATCATCGTCTGGAACAGCAAAAAACGCAGGTGCAAAAATCCTCAACTTCGACTCGGATTTTTTAAGCATTCATGCTTCTTGTTAAAATATTGCTCAGCAACGTGTTTTTTCGATTTTTTTTTTTTTTAAATTACATGCCCTTATCTTATACCACAGCGGTGGTCCTCATTTCCTTCCTTTTCCCATGAAACTTTTTATCTCCACCTGACAATTGACTTTTTTTTTCTTTAGGAAGTATGATGTGGCTACCCCTGATAAAGAAAGGTTCATAAATGAGTAATTTATACAATGCCACACTGCTGCAGTATACCGGGTGTCAACGAAATCGTTTTACAAGGCACTATTCAATTGCTATTTGAAGAAGAACCTTGAAATACTGAGTGAAGATATGATTTATAAGAACTCAGATTATCCTTTAAGAAACAATTCAATATCGCTTCCGGTTTGCCCGGAAGTGAGTATGAAAAATTTTAAATAGGACCCTGTATATTCTCTTGACGCTTCTTCAATGAGTTGGCAAGACAAAAAAATTGTCACAAATTTGGGCCTATTTTTGTTTTTACTTAAAATGTCAAAATGTATTCTTAGAATTTGTATAGGAAACGGAGCTTTCTAAATGCTAACAATAAAGAGCGTATTATTTCCGAAAGAAAAATTCTCAGCAGTACGTTTCTCTTTTATTTTTTTATTTCTAACAATAACAAGAACAATAACGGAAATTAGCACAGTAAAAGCTAAGTAACAAAAGTAACTAAATATAAGCGGATAAATTACTAATTAAAAATTAGGAAAAATCGTACAATTAAGTGTTCTATGCGTTGGCCGCCGAGTTGTTGACATAACCTGACTCTCTTGATGTTTTCTATTAGCAATTTTCGTAAATGTTCTCGAGATATGTTTTCAACGGCTGTTCTAATTACATTTGCCAGTACATCTAGAGAGGGTGGAGGAGTGGCATTAACTTTTTCTTTTAAATAGCCCCAAATTGGAAAATCCAGAGGGGTTAAATCTGGCGACCTTGCAGGACCAACGGATTGGTCCGTTGGTGCCCAACCAATTTCCACCGAATCGCTCATTTAATTAGTTACAACCCTAGAATTGTGGGCAGGGGCGCCATGGTATAACAAATGTTCGTTGTTCTGCCGATTTTCTATAAAATGTTCTATTTAGTTCCAATTCCAAGTACATATCACCATTTAACGGTTGATAGAAAAATATAGGACCAATGATATTAAGCCCTGCTACGCATAACCAGATATTTACTCCAAAACGTTCTTGGAAGGCACCTTCTCTCACTAGCATTTAAATTCCTAGATTAGTAAACCTGGAGTCATCCGAAAAAATAATATGGTGATGGAAGATAGCATTTATCTTCAGATTATTCAAAAACCAGTTGCAATAATTAAGCCGACTTGGAAAATCATTTTCAAACAGATTGTGATGAATTTGGTACTTAAAAGATTTAAAGCCATGTTTCTTTAAAATATTTCTTGCACTTTGGCACTGCTCACCTATTTAGCGTGTAGAAGCAGTACGATCATATTCTACGTACGCTAGAACGTTTATTTCGACTTCTTCGCTTACTATAAAACCATTACCATTAACAGAATCGTTGTTCATTTTTGAAATATTCCACGAGCCAATGATAATAGGCGTGTGATGGAGCTTGACGATCGGGAAACCGCTCCTGATATAATCTTGCGCCGCGTCTCGAATTTTTTTGGCATTCACCATAAGTTTTTTTTTCATTTTCATACTTTTTGTATTTTTCATTAATTATTTTTCCGTTTCTTCATAACCTATTATCTCTTCTTCTTTTTATAGCTAAATTGGCACAAATAGTCCTATTATAATGTAACCTATTATCTGTTCTTCTTTTTATAGCTAAATTGGCATAGATAGTCCTATTATACTGTGACTTAATGTTTGTAGTTTCACATTTTTGTTTTGTTTGTTTTTGTATAACTTGTTTTTTTTTCACTTTTGTACGGGGTTAGATGGTGGAATAGCAGGTGCTAAATCTCGCCCCCATGTAATGTACCATGTTTTTGGTCAATAAAGACGATTATTATTATTATTATTATTAAGTAAGGAGCACGTCGATTTGATGATATCTTAAATAATTCATTATACTTTGTAGCAGTTAACTACTAAAATGATTTCAAATGAAATAAACAAAATAAAAAATATCACACAATAAACGATGCTGACGCGTGGAAACGAGACTGATAGTTGACAGTAATTTTAAAGGCTTCCCCGTTCATTATTTGTTTCAAAGCATCCCCAGATCTCCGTGCAAACCAGCGAAATTATCGTCCATGTTGATTATTACAATTCTGGCTTTTTAAAATAAAGAAAAGAAAACAATAATTATAGTAAAAATGAAAATCGTAGATATGTTCTGTCACGTGACTAGGTAAATACGTATTAACTGTGCTTAGGTAATAACAAATACTAATTTTCTAATTAGTTATAATGCATGACTATAGCACTCCAAAATATTCCAGCTTTTTCTCTCTAGGACAACTTCCTTATAGTGGACATTTTTTTAGGATAATCCGACATACTTTATTTGTAGTATTTAGAAAACACCGTTTCCTATTCATAATTCTGAGAAAATTTTAAATACATTTTGACATTTTAAGCAAAAACTAAAATGGCCGCGAATTTATGATATTTCTTTTGTTTTGTCAACTCGATGCAGAAGCTGCAAGAGAATTGAGTTTGCTTCTTATTTCAGCGTGTAGTTTGGCAAACAATCCAAAGGTATTGTCAAAACGCCGCCATACTGAATTTGGCGTAAATCCCATTTACGCCGCCATTTTGAAAAAGAATGATAACTTATGATACATCGTTGAAAAGGGAATTTTAAGCTTTATGAAAATATGTAAAAATATGTACAGGGTCTTACTTAAAATTCTTGTTCCATACTCACTTGCGGTCAAACCGGAAGCGATATTCAGTTGTTTTTTAATTGATATCGTCACACAAAATTTCAAGGTTCTTTTTTAAACAGCAATTGAATAGGGCCTTGTAAAACGATTTCGTTTACGCCCGGTAAACGTGAATATTGGCTGGAAACTTTTACTACTTACAGTGGTTTGTTCGTGTTCCTGCCGCTGCGGGTGGTGCTGCCCGCCTGTAGCCTGTGTTGGTACTACTATGTGGGTATTGGCTGGGGCTGGTTGCGCGTTGCGCCCTGACTCCGCCACCCTGTTTCGGTGGCCCGCTTCTAGCGAGCCGGCTCTCATTGGGCCGGCGCCCCAGCAGTAGCGCTGAATCTCGCCACCGCCGCCGGATCTTCTTTAGCGCATGCGCAACCGCACCTGGACGCTAGTACCGCTGCTGTCGCTTCCGCTACCTCTTCGCTATTATCGACTACGCTGCACTCGCTACACGCTTCACTGCACTCGACGACGCTATCACTGAACACTTCACTACACAACGGGACACTATCACAGACACTTGAGAAGAAGGATAAGGATGACTCTGGAACGGTAGCGGTGCACACATAGACGACGATAGGAGAGCAGCGGCGTACCACGCACTCTGAAGACCACGCCACCGCACGCAAAGGCATCTTATATTCCTGGAACAACAAAATAACTATTGTTAGCATACAATAAGCATTAAAAGCAAAGATAATATCGTAATATCATGGAAATTACATTATTTTTCAACATAAATAATTTGCCCACTCTTATGAACAAGTAAAACTGCACGTCTTTATTCATTATTAAATCTGAGAAGTTGTTTCTATATTCTATACTCAAGTGCTCTGACATTTTTTATTTTCATCATGTTATATCATAGGTCATATAAACGTCAACCAGCGGCGGATTTAGAGGGGGGCTAGACGTGTAACTTTCTGACACATCATAGCCACAGAGGCATACTAACTATAAGTTATAGCTATAGGAACTGAGCATTGCGATTTTTCGGTATCAATTGTCACACTGTCCCTCTTCGACATCACTTACGTTTACAGCACAATTCTTACGATTTATACGTATACGTATATACGAGTACTGACTTGTGACAAATCTAAGTCTGAGTTATTACATATATTAGCTATATAGATTGCACTTAAAAAGTAATTTATGTTCTATTTGTTGCTCAATAGTAGTTTGAAAAGTGTGTAAAGCTTGACTGATTTTGTTCGGGGTTAGTGTTGCAGCGAAGCACTATATTAGATGAACGCCTAAATTGGAAGTAGACATTTATGAGATTTGTTTGGCTGTCCAGAAGATGCGTCCATCGATGCTCAAAGTCAATACCAAACGCTTCTGCATCTCACGTGAATATGTATAGCCCTGTATTGCTGTTCTTGTTTCGTACAAACATACATTATCAAAATATTACGATCTAACAGATATAGTTTTTTCCAAGAACTATACTGCTAATATAATAGAAGTGCTTGACTGTCAGTATTTTCACCAATTACTTGATTTGTTTAATGGTCAGTTCAGAGTCATAATCCTTAATCTTAGTACACACTAGTAGACCCCGCTGCGCAACTTGTCTATAGGCAGTCTGGAGACGGTCTCAAGACATGATGTATAGATGGTCTATAGACATCTTTCTTTGTCTCGTCTAGCGTCCGTTCGTTTTCGCCATCAAATACATTGTGTTGTGTGGAATGGACTGGGATATGTCTCGAGGTCCCACAGAATGTTTTTTTTTTCGGTTAACAGAGCAATGGAGTTTTTTATGTTTTAATCTTTAATATTATTACCCAACTTAATTATAAGTGCCACGTACTTATTTTGTTCTCATATACTAAAATCTTTCTGAGGATTTCTGAGCATCTTCTATGTGTTTTTTTAAAGCTGGCATTGACCAAGCAGAACACAATGGATTTAAGGAGCAATAATATGATAAATCTAGAAGTTCTACTGAGGTTGGTTTGATCATTTCCGCTTAATGTAGAGAGTTGTCACTTGAACCCCTACCCCCGATTTGTCAAATCACACAAATCAAACATCCTTCAGACCAATAACTCCACTGAGTGACGTATTCTGACCCGATAACAGCAAGGTCATTTACACTCCTGCTCATTATACCACAGCTGTGTGATTTCCGGGAAACTGCTGATCATTTACGACATACCAAAATATTCGAAAAATTAAGATTCTATTTTTTAATTATACTTACATTTCACCGAGATAAAAATGAATTAAAACAGCATTATAGCTTCAAATTATGGAGTGAACAGTTAAAAGGTTCCATTAGCCATTAGCATTCCAAGGCAACCTTTGTTCTGGTTGATATAGAGTCCCGCATCGCAAGTTGAACGTTTCCAGAACAGACGAAGCGAACTTTCCAAAATCGACCCCTGTATCAGACAAAAATACTCGTAATACTTTATTAAACGACAAAGTTGGAAACATCACTTTTTCGCATATATTCAAATAGTTGTGAATTCTATGTGTAAACGGTCCAAAAAAGTTGAAGGAAATGAAATACCTTCGCAATGTCAATTTGCTCTATCAGTTAATTTGTTATTACAAAAATCGTCGATTTATACATTTATCTATGCATAACGGTTAATCTGAAGTTAACGTTAAAGCCTTTGTGGTGCGTAGAATTTAAAAAAATCATTCAAAAATGTTAAGTGGTTTCTGCAAATTTCTAATTGTTACCAATTTGTTTGTCCAAAATTGGCTTTTCTGACAAGCGTTTCGGGGCCAATCGAATGGCCTTATATTGGGCTTATTCTTTTGATAGAGAATCTGTGAAACATCATATTAAAAGAGAAACCAGATTTTGTTATACTAAACATGTAAAAGCGTCGCCATGGTTACAACTATTTTTGCTCTATAAACAATTAGTCACGATATCCATGTTTGTTAAGGCGCCTGACTGATAGTTGGAAAATGGAATGGAAAAAACGGAGACGAATACGAAGGACCGTTCAAATCTTACTGTAGGAATTACTGTTTCATTGTTCTTTTGCCACCAAGGACCAAAAAAGTTCATTTTTTGTCAATTTGTGTAGGTATTTAGAACTGTCAGACCACAGCGGACTTATTCTAAACTAGTGCTTGAAAGATACATGTCATGTTCAAAAATAAACAATTTTCCTTAACAAGAAAATGGAATGTATTTTTCTATTCTAAGGGAATTGCAGCTATCCTAATAGGCAGCATGCCTATCACGATGTAAATTGTATTTGTATGTGAAGCTCCAAATACAGCTTAGGCAACATCTATACGCCATTGTCCCATTTAGAATATTGTACATAAACGTTCCTCAAATAACTGTAAGCGTATCTAATTGTCATATGTCATGGGCAAAGGCAGCAATAGACATCCTACTGGATGAACAAAAAATTATGGAACAATTTGTGTTTCATTATACTTGACTATTTATTTTTCCATTTATGTTCTATTGTTTTTTAATTTTTGAACCTCGCTGTAAATATATAGCCACCCACGACAGTATCGTGCCACGCTTCAGCTCTGATTAATTTATGTAGATATATTCGCTAGAGGGAGAAACAGACTCGTATAGACCTTAGGAGTGAGGGGGAACTGTGATATACACATAGGGCCCAGCGCGAGCAGAAATGCAGGGTTTGTACGTTTGTCTGTGTGTGCGTGCCGGATGCGGTCGGTGGTAAATAATTGAAACGCAAATGAATTGCGATTGGGCGAAGGAGTCCCAGCTTAGAGTGGTAATGTGTAATGTCAAAGATCGACGGTAATTAACTTGGGGAAGCGGTATGGATAATCACAAGGTTATTACCGTTAAAATGTTATATTTTTTAGGGTTTGTTACGTCACTTGATTTGTTTATAAAATCCGTTTCTTCATTATGATACATATTGACTAAGGGCAGACAAGGAATGTTAAACCAGCAAGCTTTTTACGAAAATGTAATAAACCGAAAAATACACGTATTTCGCAAGATGGTGGAAATATGTATACATGAATAAACACGAGGTTATAATACCATATTACCATAGGGGGCTCATACATCTCGCCCTTATCTCTCTCAAGCCAATTGACAAAGTACAAGCAAATCAGATGCCTCGCGAGCTGCCGGATAAATAGATCCATTCTCGCAAATATTTATTACCTCATATTAGTTAGAGGTATCGGTAACATGATGAATTGCAATCTGACAGTTCCGATTGCAAAATTCTCACCAGGTACTGCACTTGTCAGAAAGACCACACACCGTAAGCCGTCCAAAACACCGCAACCCGCATAACGCAGTCATGGTTTGTAGGTTACAGGCTTATCGGACAGTATAACTTTGGAACAAGATGTGATGGAGAAAAGGTGGCATTTATACTCTGGGCGCTGAAGAAAGACATTAAACGTAAACAGTGATCAGCACGTGAACAGATCCCTCGAAAGCATCCACGGATATACTCCAGTCACTTTAGGTCTAAACATCCTCGGCAGTGTATTTCTAGTGAATCCACAGACCCTTTTTCGTGTCATCTTGAGACTAGAAAAAGGATGACTGTTAAAATAAGTTACCTTGATCTTTCATGAGCTCCCAGTACAAAACATCATCAATATATTTTTGATGTAGGAACAACAAATTGGTTTAGAAAACATCCACTTTGAACCTAAATTGACTGGAGTAACATCGATCTACAGACAAATTCAAGGTCACTAGCAGTCGTCGGCGCTCTACGAATCTGCACAGGTTTGGACTTGTAAACGTGATTGTAGATGACACGACAGGCATCTAACAGTTAATTCACGCACAGGATTGCATTGCATACGCATTACGCATTCAGTAGCGTATACTCGTTTTTCGCGAGTGGAACGTTTTGTTTATATATTGCCTAAGATACGATGTCTGACACAGATACAGCCGACGAAGTGGTTGACATCAGCGCAACCCCACCCAAAAAAAGGGCTAAGAAGCTACATTTAAGTGCAAATGAAAAACAAATAATACTAAATATATACAAAAACCAAATTCAAGAAAAACCCGATTTGGTCGTGGACGAAGTTATATGTAAGGTAGCACATATTTCTGGAGTATGTCGGTCCAGTGTTTATAGGATCATTAAGGAATATAGGAGCACTCACTCACTTTCTGAGCCAAAACCGTATCCTGCAAGAAAAAGGATAACGGACGGAGTAGATGACTTTGACAGAACTGCCATCAGGAGGAAAGTGCATAATTTTTTCTTCCGAAATGAGATACCTACAGTAGATAAGATATTAAGATTAGTTAATGCTGATGAGGATCTTCCATCATTTAAAAGAACCACATTCCGAAAACTTTTGAAGGAACTTAATTTTCGATTCTTGAAACGGGGAAGAAACAGTATGTTAATAGAGAAAGAAGAAATTGTTGTGTGGAGAAGGGAATACCTTAGGAAGATTCGGAAGTTTCGCCATGAAAAAAGAAAAATTTACTATTTGGACGAAACGTGGGTGAATGCTGGACATACTCAAGCGAAAGTTTGGGTCGACAAATCAGTAACATCATCAAGGCAGGCTTTTCTAGACGGTCTTCCGGCTGGATTGAAAAATCCTGCAGGTAAGCTCCTTCATCTATCCGGCAATTTAATTTTGATAAATTCGGGCAAATAATATGCTGTGATAGCAGATAATGTGTGATATTCTCCAAAAATGGTGCATTCGCAGTGTAGTCATTAGGAAAAAAACTTCGACCCTCTTTTAAGCGTTATTTTGAAATTTATTATCATTTTTGGGTGCAGTCAATTTGCTTTGAATGGGTTTTGAGAAGT